CAGATTCAATTTTCATTAACCTTTGACACTCTTCATCATATGTATCATTTTCAACTTTGTGTTTTGAAACATTTGTTTTACATTCTAATTTTAGATTTGACTTACCTAAAAAGTCTCTACCTAAAATTATTGGATAACTCATTGTTTCATTTGTTACAACGAAAATTGTTAATTCAATCTTTTTATTTTCAAAAAACACAAAACCGTTTACATTTCCGATAATAGATAATGGGCTTTTATTTATGCTACTATATTTTAAAAACACATTGTTTTTTTTATTTATTAATATATCTGGTACGAACTGTTGGCGAACAAGGCTAATGGGACTTCCCGTATCAATTAATGAACCTAATAAAGTTTTATAATAAAGTTTAGAATTTACAAATACATAAGTTATAGATCTTACAAATTCGTCATCCTCCATCAAATCGCTGACATAATGAACAGGGCGGATTTTCCTTTGTGGACAATTTGCTGCATAATGCCCAACTACTGCACATACATGGCAAGCACACAACTCTCGCTTGGATTTGCGGCACTCATTTGCTAAATGTCCAACTGAGTTGCAGTTGTAGCACCTGCTGGCTCTGGCTACTTGTTGCTCGCTATTTGGCTGCTCACGTTGAGTGTCTGCTGTGATTTTTCTTGATAAAAATTTTGGCAATTGAATTGTTCTGAATGCTTCTAGTAGCTCGTATTTGTCGCGAAATCGTTGCATTTTAGCTTGCGAACGTAATCCGTGGTCTGGTATTCCTTCAACTAAATACTCAACCAACTCATCTTCTCCAATTAGAATTTTATTTGCTAAAATCAGTTTTGCGTGAAAATATTCTTCAAACGATTCAGAAATCAACCACCGTCTGGCTTCAAGCTTTCTCTTTAACATCAACTTGCTTGCTTTTTCTTCGAATAGAGAGCTCATTTCCAATAAGAATTTGTCGATAGGCAATAGGGCTATTCGCGATCCGGTGCAAATGGCCTAGCATCATTGCATTGCAAATTTGTATTGCACATTATTTGCAATACACAAACAAAATACACGCATTTGCATTTGTCATGGCTTGACAAATTTGCAATACCGAAAATCCATAGCATAAAAATGCTACGCATTGCAACTCTGGTTGACATTTCTATCAACTGATTAAAAAAGTTTTACCATGACAGTTTAATAAAGGTCGCTCACAATCCATGGCATATTTCTGCAATTGCATAAATTTGTCAGCTCTTATGCACCGAATCGCGAATAGCCCTATTGTGATTAAATCAGCACGAGAGTGCAACCACTTTAACGCGTTGCCTTTTAATCTACTTGCAATTAGTGCTCTCATGTTGTTGTCGTCAAGGTTATAAGCACTTTGAATATTTTGCAATTGTGTTTGCCACAACTTAAAGCACTCGCCGCTACCAGAAAATTCGGAGATAAGTTCTTTAACGTCTGCTAACTTTTGCTTATTGGAAATATTTTTGTCTTGATCACCACCATTTCTCAACTGGTCTTTTTCTTTCTTTAGCATTTCATTTTCTCTCTTTTGTAGTTCACATTCACGCTTCAGCAATTCTAACTCATATTTTAAGAGTCGCCACTCATTTGCATCACTCTCTTTTTCATCACTTGCTATTGCATGACTCTCTTTTTCTTTAGTTGCAGCACTCGTTTGATTATTTGCGTCGTCGTTTTTCGGTAAAATTACACCACACTTATTAACGATGTCTGCACTGCTCGCTCCTTCGTTGATTCCACTGGCTTGCCCCTTGTCTCCGTTGTCGTCTTGCGTAGCGTCAGCGTCAACTGCCGAATTTTGAAAATTTCCACGACGCTCCTCAGGGATTTCTTTTAAGCGAATAATTAATTCGGCTTTATTACCTGATGTTTTCTGTCCGAGCGAACGCAACCATTGGGGTGTTCACAGTTCGTTCCAAATAGTGTCTCAAAATGTAGACGTCTACATTTTAAGACGTTTTCTAACCGTAAAATCTGTGGTGTTGTTGTTTCCCATACAAAATTGGAAAACGACGCCGTCTACATTTTGTCACACTCAAAGGTATGTTTTTTACGCGTCTACATTTTGCAACCTCGCAGCAGGGTTGCATTATGGCAATACTAATCGCATTTTTTTTATTTATTGGGCACGTTTTCTATATTTGCATTTAATTTGAGCGCAATTTCTGATGAAAAGAAATAAGTCAAGGAAAAGAAATAACAAATATTAGGAATTGGTAATTAAGTTAAATAATTACAATTTTTCAGAAACAAAATCGAAAGGCGACATATAAAAAAGCACGCAAAGAAGAAATGTCTGGCAACACCAGCAAAGTTTTGAGACGATTTTGCGACGACTGCTAGAAAGGGGTGCTCACAGTTTGATGCTAAAGATGTCTCAAAATGTAGACGTTTACATTTTCAGACACAATATGGAGACGAACTGTGAACACCCCACATGATTTTAGTTGCTCAACAGTGTACAATTTACTTAATTCTTCACTTGAAGGCATTTTGGGTGAAAACCTCTTCTGATACTTTAAACAATAAAACTCACACACGACAAATGCTTGTACTCGTCTTTACGTGTTTTATTCAACTGCCTCCTAGGCAACATGGCCGCAATATCGCCGCAGATAGTGTTGCCACATAAACTTATTTTTAAATATGTCAATACAGAGATGCCATTTAGTTAACATATCATAAATATTACATAAGAAATTTATAAAGCTGCCACACATCTAGCATTTACATATATGTATTGCTGAAAATTTACTAAAAAAAATACTGTACTTTATTAAAAAAAAAAAAAAAAATAAAAATAAATTAAACAACTAATTAACGGAGGCCCGAATTGAGGAAAACATATGTATTTAAGTACTTGTTTTTACAATAAAAGAAATTCTTAAAGAACAAGAAATAAAAAATATATATAATAAAAACTTTTAGCACTTACATACATTAACGTATGTATGTATATTTATTTACAAACTAAAGGTTCATAAACACAAACCAAAGCCTAAAAAAAAATAACTAGCTCAAGTATTTACGTGCGAGATTTGGCCAGCAATACCCCTTCTGCTTATAGATATGCCAAGCAAAAGCAGGATTGCATGAACAAACGAGGCAGAAAAAAACCTAAATTCCAAACAAAAACACCGAAACAAAAATTTTGCGGCAAAATATTTAACGCCTTATATTTATGCTTACTTGCTTAACAAAGTAGAATCAAAAGAAACAGCAGTAAACAATTCACATTTATGTCCTTTTTGACCCTGCAGGATGGCTTGCACCAATTATGATCCAAGCAAAGATACTCATTCATGACGGAACAGATTGGGATAAACTAGTTAAACCACTACGCTTGATAAAATGGTCCCAGTTGGCAACAATCTGAACACTATTTCGGAAATATAAATCCCTCGATGGGTAAACTACTCCCCCGAACATCAATCCGAACTTCACGGCTTCTGCGATGCCTCTGAAAAGACATACTGCGCTACTATATATGTGGGCACCCAACAAGATGGCAAAACAACAAGCCACTTGCTAGTAGCGAAAGGCAAAGTGGCTCCGCTAAATACCGTAAGCCTACCACGGCTTCAATTATGCGGGGCGCTTCTCCTTGCAAAACTAGCCTCCACTGTTCAAACCCACTTAAGCCGGAACAATCGCAAATTATACCTATGGGCTGTCCCTGAAATAGTCTTAGCTTGGTAAGAAAAACCACCCCATACGTGGAAGACATATGTGTCAAACCGCACAGCCCAAATAATTGACTTAGTTGGGTCAGCAACATGGGCGACATGTAGCCAATGTTGATAACCCCGCCGATCTTGCCACAAGATGTACGCAACATAATACCCCCCGAAAGTCGAAAAATTAAAAACTTTCATGCCGTATTGGATGATACTGACATCCTTGAGCGATTTTCATCATTCCCGCAAGTCCTCACAGTAATAGCTTATTTGTTTCAGTTCATAAATCGCCTCAAAAATAAAGTTAAAGGAGCGCGTAACCCCCCGCATCATGCACTAGCACACCAAGATCTACAACGGGCTAAAATCGTTCTGATTATGTCTACTCAGACCCGCTATTATGACCGGGAAATAGCACCTTTGATGGTATCAAAGCCAATATATAAAAAGAGCCCACTCTTAGTTATTAGTCCATTCCTAGACTCGAAGGACTGCTACGCGCCAATGGACGTCTGGCAAACTCCAGTTTGAGTTATAACGAGCGGCACCCAATAATAATACCCGAAAAATCCCCATTTGCCACACTGTACATAAATAATTTGCACTTATTGATGCTACACGCCTAACATCGGCTTATGCAGCACATGATCCGACAAGAGCTTTATATCCCACGACTAAAGCCTCAGATAAAGATTTAGAGGCATAAGATTTACTTTACACCAGTAAGCCATGCTGTTTAAGTCCGATTGTAGCAAAGACCTTTCTTCAATTGAAACGTACGATTTATAAAGTTTTACATCATCTGCATACATTAAAATTTTGGAGAATTTTATATCTGTAGAAATATCGTTTATAAAAAGCAAGAACAGAATCGGGCCTAGGTGGCTACCCTGAGGGACTCCTGAAGTAACATCAATGACGTCAGAGATAGTATTTTTAAACAATACCCTTTGTGATCTATCATAGAGGTATGAAGAGATCCAACGTAGAAAATTAGGTGGAAGACCAAGAAGATCAAGTTTATAGATGAGCAACGAGTGGCACACTTTGTTAAATGCGTTACTGAAATCAGTATATATAACATCAACAGTTTTGCTCACACTAAATGCTTTTGAGATATAGGATGTTAATTCAAGTAAATTTGTAGAAGTTGATTTGCCCTTGCAAAATCCATGTTGACTGTATGAAATGCTTGAAGTGATAGAATGCGTCAACCGATTTGTTATAATTGCTTCAAATAATTTAGGAATTGCAGAAAGCTTAGCTATGCCCCGGTAGTTCTCCACTGAAGACCTGCTACCGCTTTTATGTAAGGGGGTTATGAACGATTCCTTCCATACAGTTGGAAATACGCCCTCTTTAAGAGACAAATTAAATAAGGCTGTTAACGGCTCATAGAGATAATCAGCACAATTTCTAAGAAAACAAGTGGGGATCTGGTCAGGACCATAACTAAAAGACTGCTTTAAGGACTTCAGATAAACTAAAACATCATCGGGAGATATTATAGGGTTATGTATTGAGTTAATTGGACTTAGTTTAAAAGGATAGTCAAAGTATGCTTGGGAGTTAGTGGAATAATTGGATTTAAAAAACTGAGCGAACATGTTAGAAATTGTTTGATTATCACCAGAGACGGTATTTTGATACTTCATGGCGGAAGGAAACCCACGTACATTTCGCTTGGAGTTTACGAAATCATAAAATGATTTGGGGTTATATATTATACGTCGTTTGACTTTACACAAGTAATCTTTATAACACTTTTTGTTTAATTCAAAGAACTTGTGATGCAAAAGTGAGTATTTTACATAGTATGAGTGTAAGCCGGTTTTTTTTGTGTAATCTAAAATAACGTGACTTTCTGTTTTTCAAGTTTCTCAGTTCTTTAGTGAACCATAACTGTGTTTGTTCTACAGGAACACACATGCGTTTACGCACATACTTTTCAAATAATCTATGTACAGTAAAATTAAAATGTGCAACGCTTTGCTCAACTTTTTCTTTGTATATAGGCCACGACAATTTAGACAATTCTTTATTCAGTTTTTTAAAGTTGGCCTGCGAAAAATCAAAGCGAATATTTGGCTCGTATGTTTGGACATCGCAATTTTGACCATCGTTTATAATTTCGTAATATATCTCAATAGCAGGGTGGTAGACATCTTCGGGCAAAACTAGTGGGTCACATTTATTTACAGCCGACTTAGATGCATCATCAACATAAACAAGATCTAATACTTTGCCAAACTTATTGCGAAGTACATTAACTTGATTCAGGCAGAGTTTAGCCATCTCCTCTAGAAATACGTTGTTGCAAGCGCTAGACGAGAAAGGTACAATATCATTGTCAATGATGTTCCATGATACATTTGGTAAATTAAAGTCACCCAACACAATCAATGAATCAGAGGGTTTAATCATTGAATTAATTGATTTCAGTAAAGATACATGTTGTGAATACACTGATAAGTCAGATCGGGGAGGAATATAGCATAGAGCTAAGTAAGTAAATCCCCTTCCAACCTGAACACGAATGCATTTGAATTCTGCAGATTCGATGTGTGGAACTTCTTCAGATGGTATTGAAGAGTCTACGGCAAAGAGTACGCCACCGCCGACTCTGTCCTCCCGATCTTTTCTGTAGATATGATAATTATTTGAAAGAATCTCTGAATTAAAAGTGTGAGGTTTGAGCCAAGTCTCAGTCAAAGAAATTATATTATAATTGCATTCAAGGCCATTAAGATATAAATTCGTTAATTTAGTATTTATGCCTCTTATGTTTTGATAATAAATACTTAAAGCAGATTTAGTAATCAGTTTTTTGGTTCTGTATTCTGACGGGGAATATTTGCTAAATTATTATTTTTGTTGGGCCTATACTCAAATTCACGAACGAAAGCTCCGGAGGGCCAAAAAGAACTACTAAGCAGCATGCCAAAATTTTCTAAATTTACGTCTATTTTAAATGAAGAAATATTTCTTTCATATTTAAAATTAAATTTTCTGACACTTAAGTTGACAGTTTTAACTTTGGACGAGATGTAAAACTTTATATCGTCCTCGGAAGTATCGCTCGAAAATCTAGATACAAATATAGACTTCCTTGGGGGAACCACAACCAGTCTCCTAGTATCAGACTGGATTACCGGCGGACGGGGTTGAGTAACTGAGTTACTAGTTGAGGGTAGAGTAAGCGTTGGAAGATTGGATGGCGGTGCCACAACTTCAACGGGGGACGGGGAAGATACTGCAGGGTCGTTATTATTAGAAGCAGACTTTGATATACTTTCTTTTGAGGAAGATAACTCCGTTGTCTGTGGACATGGAGAAGAAAGGTTAATTAAGTCATTCGGAAGAGTGTTCTGACGTGGAACGGTCCTTTCATTAGGCGGACTATGAAGACGCTTACGTTTTGACACACGAATGTCCTTCATAGATTGTACAGTATCTAAGCATTTAAAAGCTTTAAATACATTTTCGTAAGGTTTAAATTTTTCGGTCAGTACCGACAACTCTCTCCCTACCTCTGAAAACCCATTTCTGGTTTGCCTAAACAACTTAAAGAGATCAACTTCGGTTGACCTGCACTTTAAGCAAGACCAGCGAAGACCTTTGCCATCATTAATAGCGTCCAGAATTCTTCCTGTCAAACCAGCACATTTTAGATGGCAAATACCATCACAGAGCCAGCACGATAAGTAGCGTTCAGATTCGCTTTTGATTTGGCAGTTATCAAGATCACACTTCATATTGAAAGATTTAATAACACTTATGTTAATAAAAAGACAAGCAAAATAAGTTTAACACAACACACACAACAATTCAGGAGCTGATGTATTTAGCTTAAAAATATATGTAGCGAACAGTTTGAGTATCACTGTAATGTGACACTTAATAAACGCAGCGCAAACGAAGTAAACAAAAAGAGCAAAAAGAAATGTGCAAAAATAGAAACGATCTCAGTTAACTACAAAGGAATAACAACAACAATGATAACAACAAATGACTCGGCAAGATTAGATGTAAGCTAGTGAAATTTAGTCAAATTTAATAAAAACCACTAAAATCACAAAACTTTCACTTAGCTTCGGTTATTATCACACTAAGATGCTCGTAGGCACTTTTTATAGCAACTTTTACTCAAAATTAGCACAATAAACTTTGCAAAATACAAAGACCAATCAAGGCACAAATAAGTAGAAATTCACAGCTTGACGTTTGCGATATGATGAAAGAAATGTATTTTCCTGTGTTAAGTCTGCGCTCTACATAAGCAGAAAATGCGCACGCAGATCATGGCAGCTTTACCAACTGAACACTGCATATTCTCTTTGCCATTCACCATCATGGGTGTTGACTTTGCGGGGCCTTTCCAGATAAAGGCCTCTATGTTAAGGTCTTCTACCTTTACGAAGGGCTATGTGGCCGTTTTCTTATGTTTTTCGACAAAAGCGGAAACCTTAAGTTATGTTCAGATCTGACAACTGCAGCTTTTCTAACGGCATTTGCCTGCTTTGTCGGAAGGCGTGGATTTCCCTCAAAAATCATAAGCGACAAAAGCAAAACATTCGTCGGAGCCCAAAGGGCCACTGAAAAGCAATTTATCGAATTTATTAACGAGGTCTCGCCTGAAATCATTAAGAAATATGCACCCCAAGGATATAATTTGCAATTTGTTCCCCCCTTTGCGGGGACTCTGGGGGGACTCTGGGAATCCGCCGTAAAAAGCTTTAAAGCCCATTTCAAGAAAATCGCTGGTAATTACAAATTTACTTATGAAGAGTTCACCACTCTATTAGCTCGAATTGAAACCGTTCTCAACTCACGGTCTCTCAATACCATCTCGCAAGATCCCTCCGATTTCACAGCCCTCACCCCTGGGCATTTTATCAGAGGAGCTCCACTTCTGGCCATACCCGAGCCAGAAACGCAATCCCTATCACTCACAAATCGATGGAAGGAGGAATATCTAAAAGACCTCTGTTCAGAATAGTAGCGATTACGCCAAGTTCGAACACTGTTGTTTGCTTGATTACTTTCAAGTGATCTTTATTGAATTAATGATTACGTTTTTATACAAACTAAATGCTCACGTAGCTAAATAATAAGGCCATCAAAACTTTAGATCGTAAGCAAAATTATTGTAAAGGTTTTATTCCCACGTCGTGGTTTACATAAGAATAATTAATGCAACTCCTTTATTCTCACGTTTTTGTTGACATATGCATATTCCACAGTTTGCGTCTACTTTCATTTGCGTGCATTAATCAACAATGTCTTATATGTAACTTGACACATGCCAAATTATTTGGCTATAATAATACACTAAAAGGCATAAAGTGCAAGCTACGCATAAAATAATGCAAGCGAAAATTAATACCCTGTTGAATAAAGTCAATGCAATATTAATATGTCGACTTTTCTTATTAAATAACATCCTCCCCCCGGTGAGCGCAGCACGAATTCCTTGGCAGGTTCTGTCCTAAATGTTTATCGTAAACGTCCAAACTTCCTTGAGAATGTCGAGGCGCAGGTGTGGGTTTTTAATTTTGACTGGATGTGGTCGCAGTCGTGGATGCGTGCAATGTTTCCTGTTTGGCTGTTTTAAATTTTCTTTTGACTAGCATGAACACCAAAAGGCACAAAACTGTAATCAAGGCTGGATACACTGCCTTGTGGTGCGCATTTTGTGCTTCAAGTTTGTTTGAGAGTTCTATTATGCGTTGATTGGCCAATGATGATTGTAAGGATGTGAGGTTTTGTATTTGTGTTATGTATTTCTCATCATCCCGTGATTGAAGAAGAGGCTTTATATGTTCTGCTGCAGCTACTTCGGAAATTTCTCCCAGGCTAATGTAGGACGAGCAAAGACTCGTCGATATCAACTGATCTGCTTAAACTAATATAAAATTATGTTTGAGTATGCAGTCTGGTTAGAGTGATAACAGTCCTGATCCTTTTAGAATCACCTGAATGATTTCTTTGCCACATACTACTGTCGCACGAGATGAAACTGAAGTGGCATAAATCCATTGATTTTTATGCAACATCGTTTGGTGTTTTTCGCAGTTGACAACTTGACTGGGTGTTGTTGTTGAATAAATTAACTTCACATGCGCATTTAGATGAACCGTGACTATAACGAATTTGAATTTTAGAACAGATGTAATTTCCATTTTTAATATCCACACAAGATTGAAATTCTGAGATGCTCAGAGGGAAATATTGACCGAGAGCTGTATTTATTGCCAAAACTGCAGCACACGAACCTATTTCAATCATAGTCCCATTAGTCCAAGTAGGAATTGGTAGCAGATTGAATAAGTCGTATCGACCATGCTCTACCAGAGGCAGTGTGATGCTAAATACAACATGCTTTTCTGTAAGTCCTCCCTTAACCGTCATGAGTTGGTATAGCTGGAGTAAGTCTTATTGGTTTACAGGCAGTTCCTGAAGTAAGTGAAGCTTAATTTTGTTCACTTCGTCTTGCAATTGGCTGGGCGTCAGCAGAAGAGGACTTATTTTTCCGTGATGAGTATCTATTAGAACGGCTAATATTGCAGATTGCATTCTTTGCAAATTGGCTGCCATAAGTGTGAGTTGGATGGATAACGAGGAAAAGATTCGAAACAATTTTTCTTGGTATATCTCATGCGTGTCGTTGCTGATCCTCTGGAATATTTGACTGACTTGTTGATCAATGATGTCGAACTTCCTCTTGACCGCTTTATGATCCTGCTTCAAAATGTTGATGGTTGAGTCCACAATGGATGTTTGATTTCTGATCAGGTGCTGCAGATGTAGTTCATTTTCCTTAACGTGTGTGATTGTTTTGGACATTTGTTCTGCATATTCTGCGTCCAGTACTCCAAACAAAGAATGAGCGATATTTCCAACTGCATGAATGGCACCTCGTTTACACCGCACAGAGGGGTATTTGGCCGATTTAGGCGGCCAAAAGTCGAATTTTAAAAACGCATATTTTTCTTTTATAACTGAATATATGGTGAAGAGAATATAATTCTTGACTAGATTTCGTTATCTATTTATCGGGTATAGCTAAAGATGGGTTGAATTAAAAAGTTTGAAGAGTTACAGAGGAGAAAATACATAGTTGTCAGTACATTTAGAAAAAAAATCTCTGCTTGACGGTAAGTTCTAGTAAAAATATGCAAATAAGTTTTTAATGCAATAAAATCGTAAGAAGTTTTTGAATACTCAGTTTTAAGGCAATAAGATCCTAAGTCTTTTTTTAATACAGAGTAGGCTCGAATATTCGCGAATTGATTACATCAAAAACATTAGGCATTGCATAAAACACTTTTGACATTCATTATTTTCAGTATATAAAATACAAACGGCTTAAACACTCTAATATCAGATATTTATTTGCTACCGCGTGTGCACTTAAAAATGCTTAAAACACGAAGATATTCTAGCTTTAATAAAAATCCGCAGTGTGTCAAGTTCATAGTTCGCGTAGAAATTTTACGAGTTTCCGAATGCTGCAATATTTCTTCAATGAATGCAAAGATAGATGCGGCCCAAAAACAAGAACTGTGAAATTTAAAAGCCAATTAAAAAAAGTGGGTTGAAGCCCATAGAATAGCCGATACTTTTATAAAAAATAATCATAATCTTAAAAGATCTTTCGATGTTTATCGAAGCTAATTTGACATAATTAATTGTTCCCCTTTTAAAAATTACATTAAAAATTCACTTGTTTTCATTATTTTTTTAATTTAAACATCTATAATTCAAAAGTTATGCAGCAAATTGGTCCAATTTTTATTGAGGCTTCAAGTATACGCCAATGAATTATATCCAAAAGCAACCAGCTCCATATAGTTTACAACAGTGAAGATAAAGCTAAATAACACAAAAGTTACCTGTTTTTTAGATTTGCCCATATATAATATTCATATTGTTATAATTAACTTAACCTATTATATACATTGTAATTAATTTTAAATTTAAAAGGTGGCAGCCCTGTTTAAGATAGTTTCAAACTATAACCTCATAAATTAATTTTTAAACAGATGGTAACCCTCCTACAATTTTTTTGGAAACAAAGCCTTTTCAAACCCATTTCGCATGTTACCCACATTGTAGTAATCCATTTAACTTAATTGCATTTAATTTTTAAGCAGGTGGCAACCCCTTTAATGTTCTATTTTAGATACAAAGCTTCTCCTCGCCGATACGAACACGCAGGTCTCAATTTTTCTACTATGGGACCTCGATAACATGGAGTCTATCGATGTCGAACTTTAAGCACCTTTTTATACCTTTCATGAGCATGAAATGGTATTATAACTTTGGTCCGATGTTTGTAAGTACCAGAACAAAAAGAGTTAGACCCATTAAAATGTATACTTATATGATCAGAACGTCGAGCTGAG